GAATTGGAATACAGGTTAGTCACAGGATCATCTACTACGGGCAGTTTTAGTTTCTGCGAGGCTTCTGGCATCAAGGAATAAAATTTTGAAAAAAGGTGGTGATTAGTCTTAGGTTTTGCCAGCTGTTCCCGTTCCGCCTTCATTATGTGATAAAATGAGGCTGGTAGAGGTAGCCCTGGCTGTGTGACTGATACCTTGGGCATCAATTTGCCCAACCCTTTCTGGAACTCTGAGTCTTGTTCAGACTCTTCCCTAGGTTTAGTTGACAGATCTAGAGTTCTAAGCACTTTGGGCAATAGACGTGAGTAAAGGTCCTGCGGAAAGATCCTGGATTGAACCATAGGCACTACAATTTCTTCTTCTTCCACAGAAAGTTCCCCTTCCTCCTTTTCTGACGAGGAAGTGGAAATCTCTGGCTCAGATTCGTCACGTCCCATCAATGGACTCCTCTCTCTAGAGGGAGATTCAAATTTGTTGCGTTTTGAGGTAACGGGAGATCTGGAGACGCTGATGGCACTCCCTGCCCTGTCTCTGTTTCTCTTAAGACTCCTGCCCCTTTCTTGAGAAGAGTCCAGTGATTTGGAGCTTTGAATAGACTCCAGTATCACGTCTTTGAACTCCTTTCTCATCTCCCCTCTGAACCAGTTCATCATATCAGGGTTAATGGATTCCATGCCTGCGGAGGCTAAAGGATCCTGGCAAATCTGGGGCGTTGAGGGTCTGGCCTGCGTGTTGTCCCCGGTGGAACTGCCTTGGGCCTTCTCAGCCATTTTCCAATACAGGGGGGGGGGGGGGGGAGAGAGGAAGGAGTCTGAGAATAGGCTCCTCCATCCCCTCAGCTTCTTGCCTCCTTGAGCCTAAGAAGGGTTTAATTTAAAAAACAGTGAAAAGTGAAGAGCAGCCCAGGACTACCCTGGTGGTCTCCCATCCAAGCACCAACCACGCCCAATGTTGCTCAGCTTATGAAATCTGATGAGCTGAGCTCCATATGGGCCATTCAGGGTTGTCTCACTCTCTCTCAGAGGGGGCCATCTTCTGTAGGGAGGGAAACCTATCGGTCCCTTGCCGCACTCAAAATGGCTGCTGCATATTTTCCCACCATTTTTTCCCACCAAAGGGAAAGTAGCCCGAAAAAGACCCCCCCCTCGAGGGGCATGCGGAAGGGCATTTCACTGTCCTGATGGAATAACCCCACTCCCACTCCGTCCTGTGGAGCGAAGGTTTCCCGGGAGCGTTCCTTGTCCCTTCCATCTGGCCGTTTGCTAGAGGGGTAGAGCAAAGCCTGGCATCCGCTTACCACGTTGCAGGCGGGATGTCACAAGTCAGCGATCCACCGCTCCGTGTCTCGCTTCACCGCCGTCTGTACAGAGGCCAGTCAGGGAGAGAGCTGATGTCTCCCTGCCGCCACATCTCCTCTTCTCCGCACTCCCTGGCTTCAGGAGCAGGCCCTCCACCCCCAGGACGGGTAAGGCCAGTGGAGACACGCTCTTCGGGCTGCTGACTCCCCTGTGGGTCAAGACCCTTCTTTGGATAGGAGCCCTTTGCGCCGTCCGGCTGTAAAAGTCAGCCGTCTCGTCTTCTCTTCTTCTTTTTTCTAAATGTGCGCTATTCAGCGCCGCTGGAGCACGTCCTGCTGGAAGCAGGGCCGGCAAGAGAACTGAGTAGCCTGCAAGGGGATAAGCCCCTCCCCCGCCTGGATCAAAGCTTGGAGCCGACCCTGAGGGTAGAGGAGGAGCTTATACCAGACGTAAGGAATGTACCATGACGAACCACTGGAGAAAGAGAACCATCCATTGCCATTGTTATGATTGACCCTTATCTTGTGGTATGAGTCAGAAAACCAATTAGCAGCTTCAAGAGTCTCAACAGCGGTCCATGGTCAATTGTAACAAATACCATGTAGACATTTATTACCAGAATGACCTGCTGTCCTCAGCCTTTAAACCTCAGATGATCACTACTTCCTCTGCAGACTGGAATGTCCCCACATCCAAACACTGCCGCTACAGTACCTTTTTTCAATTACCTTCCCTATGTCAAAGAGCTCTCAAGTAAGAATTTTGCAAACAGGGATGTTGTGCGATTGCCATAAGCAAGGAAGGGAGAAAATGAAATCTCATTCAACCTAATGCAAATTAACACATTTGCCAGCATCATGTATTAAAATAAGTTTACCCCACAGTTTTCATCCAAGTCACCCAGAAGCATGTAAACAGAATGGGTGTCACATCAGCACAGCTGTAGCCAGAGCCAGGGAACTGCAAACAGAGCAAGTCTGTCCCACTCTGCCACCTGTCAGTTGCATTCCCATTGTAATCAAACAAGGAACAAACATAAAGCTCTGCATTGTACTGAAAGGTCTGCCCCAGTCCTTTTTCCACTCTACCATACCCCATAAATGCCCAATTCCATGCTACATAATAGCTTTTACATAATATTGCCTATGTACCCCCATCTGGAAATAGAAACTGATATCACTAAAAAAGCATCAACACTTCTGCGCTAGTAGGACAGCCTAGGCAAACGTTTGACACCAGCACAATGATAGATAGCACAGCACTTATTTACCAAACCAGTGACTTTGAACATTGGGCTGCACCAACAAAGTTTCTTTCGTAAAGTTTGTTTAAGACACATCTGATGAAAAATGCTAATAAATAAGGTGCACACACCCTATTCCATTGATGATGCCTAAGTTCTCCTAAACTCAGTTCAGTATTGGCAGGGTATTTACCAGCTTTCTTGTTGGACCTGCAGAAGGGAAAGAAAAACCTCTCGCTTTCTCGGAGTTTCATCTCCTTTTACTCTTCATAGTAATTGTAGCTTGGTTAGATTCAAGTTGCATCAAACATGAATGAGGCACTTTTATGACTGATTACTGGCAGCTGCCTCTGGTTGCCAGATCAGCTGAACATTGGACCACACACCTGCAGAATCTTGTTCGATGTGCCTAGTTGGTGAAGAACTTCTGTGGAGAGCAGCACTCGATTCATAATGCAGCCAAGTGTAACATTCATGGAGCAAGCCAGATAATTGCCTGCTTTAGTAACATTGCTAGTTTTATCTCATACACTTGCATGTAGATCTTCCTGTTCCCTCAAGGAGTACCCCCATTTTTTTCAGCTGGGGAAAGTAATCCTGCATGCAGGAATTCACTTCTTTTTCTGAAATAAATCCATATGTACCAAATCCGTATGTATCAATTCTCCATATTTCTATATGTACACAAAATCACATCCAGGATTCTGGACTAGGACCACATTGTCTAAGCTTCTCTTTTAATCAAAACCAAAATTAATAACTATCTGGTTTATCTAATGCAGAAAATCCCACAGATTCTTTTTAAAATGCAATTTGTTTTCTTGAGGAAAATAAGTAAGTGCAAGTCTTGACTAATTATGGGGGGAAAGACGTTTAAGGACGCTGAAAGAGGATTTAAATAAAAACAAAACAGATATCACTGTAACCCCCAGCAGGTCTCACAGTGCAGTGGCCATTATGTTCAACACCTCAAAGTGACAAGCAGATAAATTGGAATTACTGATGATACCAAAGAAACCCAAATAGACAGACTCCTTTAAAACTTGTGGTGCTACCCTGGTTACACAATGAAGCATGCCAAAAATTTGGCCTCAGATCTTTTTATCTTGTGAAGTGCAAACTGTGACCAGCAGAATCTCTTACATCCTCAGAAATAGAGGCAGGGAGCTCAGCAAACCAAAAATTATCTGCTGCCCAGTCACTTAAACAATGCAACTGTGCAAATCAGAGTGTCTTTATTAAAAATTGTACAGTCCTTCAGCCTTCACTTTTTGAACAGATATTCTGGACAGAAATGTACATTAACACATTTTAAGTTTTGAAAAATGAAATACAGAAACACTTTTCTTTTCTAATTTAAATAAGCTTTATAAACCTGAGAGGTAAGTTTTGTGCACACACCAAAAAACTCCAAAAACAACAAAGTTTTTTGGCACATTTATTGTGAACTTTGTGAGATTTAGCCTGCTTCATAAGATCCACAAAGTATAGCCTCAAACACAGAGGTAAAGAATGTAAACGGTAAGCTCAAAAAGCCATGAATGAAAGGCTTTTGTGCACTAAGCTCAGATGATAACAGCCAACCATGGTTTTCAACTGAATACCAGATGTTCAGGTTTTGTCTACCACTAGTCTTTTTCTATTCCTATGAGAAAAGCAAGGCAGGTTTTGTCATTGTAAGTTGCAATAACATAACCTTCCTAGTTTGCTCAGCTAGTTTAATACCTTCACTGGGTAAAAAAAAACCTCAGTTCTAACTGATACAAACCAGTTAGTCATCCTTGGCTCAGGAGATCTTTCACCACAGGAACAATATTATTATTTTTAAAACAGCAAACAGCACTGGTTGTAACATTCATCTTTATGCCTTAGTGTTCTCGGACCAAAAGTCCATCTTCTTCAACATTTCAGAAGGACGTACATCTAAACACCCCTCATTGTCTCAAGGATAACACTCTCAAGCCCCACTCATACTAAGCGCTTCACACAGCCTTTCCGTTATTCTACTATAGACTGCCTTGTCCCAATTTAGAAGCAAAAAGAGCATTTCTTCTTTTAAAGTATATACTAAAAAATGTAATTATCCAATACTGTTACCAACAGTTCATATTATAACTCAATCATTTAAGCAGGTGAAATGGCAAGCTGCACACTCCGTGATACTTTAGTGTTCATACCCACATGCTTCCCAACCACATAAGACTGCCCATAAGGAAGCAGCTCACACACCACTGAGCATCTATTGCTCTGGAGGGTACCAAAGAGATCACAATACTGATGTAGACAGCCTGCAACCTAGCCATTGGTCTTTTCAGGCAGAAGAAAGGGAAGGAAGAAGGTGACAGGTCTCTGCACAGCTTCCAGTCCTGATCATCAGAGAATAATTCCTACTCACCACCAAATGATAAGGCTCTCATTTTTAAAAAACTGAATCAAGACAGATAAAAGAATTTTCTTACCTAAGTCCAACAAGGTGTCACTTTCATTTTCAACTGGCTGAATCATACGATCTTTATAAAACTACCAGAAAAGAAAAAAAGAAATTGGATTATTTTCTATTTTGTGCTCTAGAAACAAATGGGGATGTGAAATTTCAGACTATATTTTTCAAGAGCATTCGTTTCTTTTTTTCCCTCAGGATACAATAATTAAAAAGAAAATCATCCATATACAAAAAAGAACATCTACTCTCAGAACTGCTCTTTTCTAAACACTAATGCAGATTATCAGTTTTCTAGCATTTCAACAGTTAATATGTTGTCCGTTATTTCAGAGTAATCAGTGACTATTGCCAGCTCTTTTTGTCTTGTTAATTTCTTGCAGCTGAAATGACAATTCCTTTCAAAAACCAAGAAGCAGACAATGCAGATCACAAAACTTTTGAACCAACTGTTTTTACTTTCGGTCAATTCATTTGCTACTATTTTTAGAGGCTTGACAAAACTCCCATGAATAGAGTGATTCATGAGGATAACACAAGTGGGGAGACCCTCAAGGACTCATAGGGAGGGGGGGTCTCACTCATATAAGCAAAGTACAAGGTTATGTGGCTGCTTATAAATATCCAGGTGATATGCTTTTCTTAAAGAAGCAGACATTACTGCTATGATTTGTATTCTTTTTAAATGTTCACTTTTCATATTTTTCTGCAAACCTAGGGCTTCCCCCAGGTTTATAGATAAATGTCGTGTCTGTCCCTGGCCCCACAGTGTGGATTTTTTGATCCAGACTCTATATGATATCCATCTATCATTCTGATATGAAATGTGTGAAATTCTTAAACACCTCCTTAGAACTAACTACATATGACAAAACACATTTGGTCTCAGTTTTAGACATGGAAAATGATTGGCATGGGACCTTTAAATCACAGCATGATAAACAGAAGTCCCAAAGGAATACAGTTGCAACCAAAACAGCCCTCGCTTCTCAGAGGCTGATCCTCAGCAGCACATGACTGGCTTGAAGTCCTTTTTTTTTTAATCCCAGACAAGCAGTTGATTTCCTCATTACAGCTCCCAATCTTAGTAACATGGTTGAACTGCTTTTTGAAATTAGTCAGATACATAATATATTTTGTTATTGTAACAAAGGTATAAGATGTGATACTTGGCAGACAATGGCCAATATTTAATTCTGAAAAGTATTCAGGAACCAAAGCAAATGATGGGAAACTCAGTAGATTTTTAGCCAGTCATTATAGTGGTACTGTACCGTTACATCTTCATTTTTCAGAGATGGCTCCGCAGACACAAGGTCCACAGGATCTGTTTAAACAAAAGACATATTCCAATTATCTTCTAGCAGAAAATTGCGCAAGTGCACACACCACACCGAAAGCACAAAACTGAAGGATTCACAAAGACCAAACAATGGTCTTTTATAATATCTACTACTCCCAAAGTAGCATGGCTGTGGTTGAAATACTAGATGGCTCTACAATAAGCTATTGTGTTATTTTAATAGGCTAATTATAAACAAGGTCTTTTTTCTTAAAGGAGCATGCTATGAAAATACATGTTGAATCATAAATCACCCTTGCTGATTAATATGTACTTTTCAAACACTGTAGACTATCACAGGCTAATTGTATTGTACATGGGACTCTGACAATAAAAAGAAAGGAAATCTCATGCATTTTAAGAACTGGCTCTTTCCATTTGATTTCAGGGAACAATTGTGACTACTTTATTAGTTTGTTTCCTGGCTCCTTTTCAAATCTCTAAAGGAAGGACATAGTGCACAAAATCCATATTAATCCATCTTCCCCCAGCCATAGACAGTGCCACTGTTATGAAAGAGTAGCATGCAAATTCTGCACATTTGTTAGACCCAATCTATGCTTTTACATAAAATAAATATTGTTCTCAAAAAGAAAGGAGTATTTTTGTTGCTGCTTCGTTCCTTTTAATTGTTTTTATTACTTCATATTTAGGTCCTGAAACAAGGGGTACAAATGTGAGCAACAACTGTGGAACAGCAGCACCTAGCTTCTCCCTGTTTATTTATTTAGAAAAAGTATATGCCGTATCTTCACAGATGTGATCAAGGAGGCTCACCATATAAAACATGGTAAAATAAAAAAACACAAAATAATTAAGATTAACAAACCATTAAAAACCCAACCAATAAAAACCTAGAGCATAAAAACCTACAACACAAAGCATTTATCAGCCTAAGCTGTCCAATTCTCAGGCTACAAGCAGACTGTAAAAACAATTTTAAAAACTCAAACCCCATAGACTGGTTATTCTGGGAGGAAAAGACTATAGTATAGTATTAATTCTGCAGTGAGATTTGTTATATTGGGAATGGGAGGGAAAGGAAAATATTAAAACAGTATTTTTCAAGTGTGGTAAGCTGCTTTTGAGGACTTTATAATAAAAAGTAGGATACAGACATAATGAATGAACAATTTATGGACCTCATCCAGGATAGAGGAAAGACATACAAGTTCCCCATTTTTGTGTCACAGAAAGGACAACCACACCACATTTGAGAGTGGGAACATGTAAAGCAGGTCTCAAAACTGCTGTTGTATGTTCAAAATCACTATAATTATAAAACCAAAATACTCCCTCAATATTTCACAATATTTCAGTTAATAAATAACTGCTGCCCATTATTCAGTTCTTGCTTATTCTATATACAATGTAGATTAAAATGTGATATATTTTTCACAAGCTTTCCTTTCAAGAGAATGACTGCATCATAAATTAAGGTCACATCTGATTCATCAGCTTCCTGGGTGAATAACTGAAGAGAATGAAACACTCTGGTACATACTGGGTTTTTTTGTTTTTCAAAGAGATTTTCTTTGCATAGGAAAAGCACTGCTGAAGTTAGTTGTAGCCAATAGCAGAGTCCACCAGCAAATGGTAAAGACTAGACTTCTGTATTAACACAGAATTCAAGCCACTATGCTGCCTTCTTGCCACAGACAGATTTAAACCTAACTCCAGTTTTGGTATCCTAAAAGCAACTAGCAGTCAGAAGACATTAACCCAAGTTAATGCCTTGATGCCTGCTAGTTGCTTCTAGGATATACATCGGTTCCTAGATAACAGGACCGGACACTCGTTATCCTCACGCCTTTCCACACAGGGTATCCTGGCAGATTGTTCCACCACACTGGACTACCTGCAGGTGGCGCAGTGACTCAGGATACAAATTGACCATAAAATACTTCTGAGGATTAGAACAGTTTTGTTTGTTTCATACTATCTACCAATTAGACAAAAGATGAGAAAACATGAAGAAAAATGGAATTTGACATGATGGCCCATAAAACATAAGGAAAAATAAGATAAGGAGCACTTGAGGATATCACAGTAAAATGTACTTGATGCTTCAAAGAATGAACTGAAGGTTTTCATCTAAATATTTCTTTATATTTTCCCAGAAATGAAAGTTCTCCTGAATACTGTTGATATCTAGCTGACACAGCTGCCAGCTATTTGTAGAGATTCTGTTTATTAAAGCACAAAGGATAATGTAAACTAACTTCAAAGTCAAATTATTATTTGCCACGGATTTGCACCTGATCCTGTCTCTTAAAAGACTGTTGAGACAGGGAGTTCTGCTAATTACAGGGATACAGCTGAATCTTCAGCCTCAGTTAACTTCATTTTAATTAAGCTATGGGAGATTCAGTGCTAAGGTAGCAATATCAACTTACGTTGACCCACTGGGAATACCTGTTGTGAAACCCAAGCAAACCAAATGCATTGCTATAGCTACATGCAAGGGAAATGAAGCAACTGTTGATATCCTGATGCCTAACAGCTCTGGTGATCATGGATTCAGACCCACCCACACTATTACTTGTTGCAACAATAGTTGCTTTGAATGCTAATGCCTCCTGCCTCCCCCTTTCAGTAACAGCACTGAAGCATTTCCAATGACAACATTTAAGATTACCAAGCCCAACACTCTTGTTTG